GCCCGAGGTCCCCAGCGGCCCCGATGTCCCCCGGGCCGTCCACCACGAGCGCCCCTGACCCCGCTGCTCCCGGCCTTGGGGCAAAGGCAGCTGCTTCTGCCTGTTGCCTGCAGCCCCTCCAAGCGCCCATGCAGACAGAAGTGTCCTGGCCCGCAGACCTAACGGGCTGGATCTCGGCTGGCACTGGGCTCTCCGGACCAGTGTCTTGGTCTGTTGCTAGCTCCTGCCCCAGTAGTCCTGAACACAGCWGGACCAGCTTCCTCGGCGCTTGGTCTCTCCAGGCCAAGAGAACCACCGTAAACCCCTCGAGGGGCTTGAGGAATCGGGTAGCCTGATGTCTTCCCACCTGGGAGGTGACACCGGACAGGGAAATCCAGCGGCCCCTTCTCTGCGGGCTGGCCTGGGGCTGGGGTCGGCTCTCCTGTGGCCTCGGGGGGCCCTGCAGCAAGCACTGCCCTTGCAGGAGGGGAGCTCCCCCGATCCCACCACGTAGCAGGAGGTTTTCTCCACGTCCAGACTGCGCCTCTTGACGTGCCTGTGGTGGATGTGCTTGATGTCGCTGCAAAAACTGCCCTCCAGAAGAGGGACATCCCCCGGGCTGAAGTGCTTTTCAGCCCCGGCTGTGCGAGAACCTGTGTCTGTGACATGACTATTTTGGAGACAGAGGCCTAAGACCTCTGCTTGGGACTCTCACTGCCTCCCTTGCAGGGTGACTTCCCTTCTAACTGGAAGGGRTTTTCCCTTCACGGGACATAATTAGGTGCTTGGTTAGAGTGTCCCCCCTTGACATCCCTGGGGCTTTCTGCCGTGTGGACTAGAACGATGAAACTGGTCTTGAATTGTCTTTATTTTTTATTTGTTTTTCTGATTCCTTCTGGTCCGATCCTGAGCCTCAGGGCCCCCTGGCCAGGTCACACACCAGCTCAGCAGGCRCCAAGTTCCTTGGATTGCTGCTGCAAAGCAGCTCGGTGCAGGTCTGCACCCAGGTCCCGCTGTCTGTGGGAGCTGGATGCCTTTTCTCCGCCTCCCTCTGTGCTCCTCGCTCCATTTCCAGGTGGCGAGTGGCAGAGAYGGACCCGGGCCTCTTCTCCCGAGAGCTCTGAAATGATAAATAAKCCATTAATTCCCTGCCCTGGTGGGTATGAAGGGTTGAGGTGGACAAGTTGATGTCCTGGGGCCCAGGTGTGGGAYGGGCTGATGGCACTGCCTTGTCTGGTGCCCTGTCGCAGCACTGCCAGCCTCATCTCCTTAGGCCTGGGGCGAGGCTGCCGGGGCTCCCAGCTGTGACTTCCTCAGGAGGGACCCCGGGCGGCCCCCGGGGCTGCAGCCACGGCAGAGTCCAGCCTTCAGCTTCCTTTACTCACTCCCTCCTGCCAGTAGTTACTGCGMCCTGGAAGTCCCCGGTATTTTTTGCCGTCTCACCCTCCCTTTCGCATCAGCTTCTGCAGATCCTTCTACCTTGTGCAGAGGTCAGCCGTGGTGCTCAGGCCTCTCCCTCGCGCCGGCCCCTGTCATCCCTTCACTGCAACCATAAGGTTCTGCTGTTATGAAACCCTACCGGCTGCAAGTTCCCCTTTTGTCGGCCTGTGGAAACGGGGAAAGGCCTTGGACTCAGGCGGGGACCCGGAGGGAAAATCTCAGCAGCCCTTGGAGGGATTAGGAGTTTTCTGAGCAGGAAGAGTCGGCATTGCCGCTGTTAGGAAGCGCTCGGGTGCTTTTCTGTGCATCACGCGCTCAGTCCACGTCCCACCAGCATGTGCAAGCCCCGTGCCGAGCACAGGGCAGCGGCGCTGGCCCTCCCTGCGCCGTGTCCCCAGGGAGGTCCCCRTGGCCCCGGTGTCGCAGCTAGGACTGCAGCAGCAAGAGGCACGTCCATGGGAGCGGAGCGGGATGCGGAGGGACGGGCAGCTCTCAGCAGGAGGGTGGCTCTTGGGGAAGCTCGTCCTCCTCGCGTCRTTTCTGGTGCTATCTCGCTAGCTCCACGCAGCCCAAGAAAAAGTGGCCATCAGCAGAACCATCCCGTTACAGAGGGTTTCGGAGGGGAGGTCAGGGAGGCCACAGACCCCTCACCTCCCCCGGCGGTGCCCGAGGGTGGGCAAAGTGCAAGCCCCGCTCTGCGCAGCAGGATGGTGCCCCCGCTCCCCGGGACAGCAGGGCCTGTCCCCGGGGCTGTTACCAGACGGGCCTCGTGCTCGGGAGCAGCAGGGCCGCGCAGCAGCCCGTGCTGCAGTTTGGGGAGCGCTGCGTTCCCAGCGGGAATTCTGGAAGCTGGGGAGAAGCCGTCACCCCGTGAGCTGCTCTTCCGACCGGGAGTGCTGTGCTCGCAGCTGGGCCCATCTCCCACCCACCTGGTCCCACAGGAAAGGGGCCTGGGGTGCTCAGCAGAGCGCAGCATCCCGTGCACAGCATCCCTGACATCTTTCCCTGCTCCTGGATGGCAGGAGGTTGAGACAGGGAGGATGAGCTGGGGCCAAAACCTCGGACTAGCCACAAAACCCCCAGGGCTGCTCAGTGCAGAGCCCYGTTGGATCCAGATTGGGCTTTCCAACTCAATATGCACTGTTCCTGCCCAGGAGGTCGACCCTCTGGGCTGCTTGGAGCAGTGCCGGGCCCAGAAAGGAGAGCAGAGGTTGCCACCTCCTGGCAAAGCCCATCCCTCTCTTGGAGGGCCCRTGTCCCCTCTCCATCCCCGCAGCGCCTCCTTCCCCCTGGCTGCTGCCTGCCTTGCTGGGGCCGGTGGCTCGTTTCTTCCCCTATTAACCGTGCTGATTTGGGGAGGTCTCCCTAAGGTGGGGAGGCAGCAGCACCTTATCCCGGGATCGGGAGGCTCTTGAATCACCCAGCCGCCCCAGCCGACACAACGTGAGGTGAGGTGGGCTGGCGTCATCGGGGACTTGTCACGTCCCTCCTCCGTCTGCCACTAAAATCTGCTGCAGAAGGTGATTTTTTCCAGCCACTCTTTGTAGAATTTTGCTATGACTGAGGAGCAGAGGGGAAAAAAAGGGTTCGAAAGGTTTCCTTTTAAAGCCCAAGCCATTCTTGGGTTGATGTCAGTTCCTCTTCTTAGCTTAATCCTTGACACAAACATAGGGCAAGTGCTAAAAATGCCCCTTGCTCTTCTGTGGCCGAGTGTCTCCTGGGGAAGGAGCAGGGCGAGGATGGGGGTTCCCAGCTCAGGAAAAGGCTTCCCTTTCTGGAGGGGAAGTTTGGAAAAGGCGGCCACACGAATCCCGCCTSCCTGGCACACGTGTCCAGGGTGATGCCAGAAGAGCAGGGGGTCAGGACCTGCGGGGAGAGCCGGGCTGTGAGCTGGGCCCTGTCCCTGGGGGAGCTGGTGGCCTTGGGGACACTGATGGGCAACACGCAGGACAGGCAGCGCAGAGCAGGGTCCCCCGTGCGTCCCTTTGCCTGCCCCCGTCAAAGCTGCTCATTACCCGGAGAGGCCAAGGACGGGACGGTGGAGGGTCACAAGAACAGCCCTGGGTGCCCAATGGCTCGTGTGTCCCGGTGCTGGGAGCGGGACAGGGCCGAAGGAGCCGCCAGGAGCAGCACGGGACGAGAGCAGGGGCCGCGTGGACCCCGGCTCCCGCCTGAGCAGAGGCAGCTCCACGTGCCACAACATCCATGCGTTTCCCTCCCGAGAACTTGTCCTCGCCGGACACCCGGTGCGCTCCCGTCGCGCGCACGGAGCAGCCACATCCTCCTGCCCGGCAGGATGTGACGCTGGTGGTGACACCGTCATGGGGGCAGCGTCGCAGCCCTCCCACCGGCCACCACAGCCTCTCTGGCCGCTCCGGGGACATCCCTGGAGGCTCTGTGCCCGCCGGGGGGTCTCTGCTCTCCATAGGAGCTGCCACGGTCCTGGCACAGGCCACACTGCCTCGCGGGTGACGGTGCCACCGCCGAGGCCGCCCTTCCGAGGAGGAAACTGCCCTTCCTCTTTGCCGTGGGCTGGTGGAGTCGGTGGTCTGACCGCAGCAGGGCTACCAAGAAAGGAGACGTGGGAGGTGGCGACCTGCGAGCGGTGACGCCCGTCAGCTGAGGCCCTGCGCCGCGGCCTCCAGGCCTGCGTGGGCAGCTGCCTCCCCGTCCCGACGGCAAGACGCACCCCGAGGTCTGCCCGGAGCAGCACTGATGGAAACAGGGCCCACGAGCCTGCAGCTGCTGCGGGGCTCAAGCTCTGGGCACCAAGCGGGGCTAAGGGGTGTCCCAACGCGTTCCCGACAGGACCTTGCTTCCCACAGCCCCCCTGCTCAGTGGAGGCTCACGGACAGGTCCCGCCTGGCCAGAGCCCCGGCAGAGAGGAAGAAAGTGTCACGAGGAGCAGGTCCGACCTCCCAGCTCGCGCAGAAGCGGCTGCCGGGGGAGTTTTGCGGAGTCACGCAGGGCAGGCACCGTCCCCAGCGCGGGCAGGACCCRGCCCGTGGCCACAGGGAAACGCGGCCCCATCGCCCACGGGAGCCGGGTCCGGGCACCCAAAACACCAGGTTAGCAAGAAGGGCGTAAAACCCACATGYCCAGAGGTGCAAAGCTGCGGCAAGACAGCGGGTTGCAAGGTGAGTGCCCTTGGGAGCGCAGCAAAAACAGCCAAAAGCCCCGGGCGAGGGCAGTGCYGCGGGCTGGCGCGGACGGAGAGCGCGGATGTGCAATGCCCGACGGCTGGAATACGGGCAGGGATGGCTGCTGAGAGMGAGAAAAGGGCATCGGAAAGCAGAGCTGGGGCTAATGCAGGTGCTGAGCGACAGCGCCGGGCGCCCGCGGCCGCACGGGCAGTGAGGAGCAGCGCCGGCCTCCCGAGCAGCCCCGCTCCGGCCTCGTGCTCCAAGAACAGGGAAAATACAGAGAGATAAGAGCGTCTTCCCAATGCAGCTGAGCTGCAGAGAAGGTAGTTTCCGTATGAGTTAGCAGAACCAGGAGTTGGGAATTTTTGACCAAGTCTGCTTTCCTTTGAAAGGGCAGATTCGGTGAAATTTGAAAGCTTTCCACTGGAAAGAAAGAATTTTGCTGGATTTCTCAACCAGGAAAAAAAAAATCTCCAGAAAATTTGCAGGCTGTTGTCAGAGTATTTTAGCTAAAACTGCTCCTATTCAGAGCACAATGTAAATGTTTGCTTGCTTAAAGCTTGGCATTAAAATGCAACGTGTCGTCTTGATCATTTTATCTGTTTAAATGTCACTGTTTGTGAAACAAAATGGAAATTTAGAGACTTTCCTGGGCTGAGGAAGCCATTTCCAAAGCCCCGACTGGGACCCTATGGGGACAACAACATAGGAACCTGTGCCCTGGGGATCTCCATCTCTAGGGCCAACCCTTAGGACCAACCCTTAGGACCAACCCTTAGGATCAACCCTTAGGATCAACCCTTAAGCAAGTCCAGGTGTGGGAGCTGCAGCCCTCGCCCCTGCCAGAGACAGGGCACATTGCAACTCAATTTACAGCTAACAGCACATTTCCCACACAGGCCAGCCCTGCGGGGCTGCGGACAGTCACCGGTATTTAGCCAGCTATTAAACCTGCTTAAAAGACAGGTATTGGCTCCCGGGAAAGCTGTGAAGCACTCCAGCAGCGCTGATGCTCTCTGCTGAAGAGATAATTACCTTCCCACCAACAGAACGTGATGCTGACGGATGAGGAGGGGCAGATCAGTGCAAACAGCCCAGGCCCTGTTCTCTTGTCCTCAATAAATGGAGGGCAGGGCAGAAAATCCACCCACAGCCACGTCCACCACAAGCCACTTCTTTCACAGAGCAGAGCAGATGGGAGCCACCTCCGTCCTCAGCATGGAGAGGTGCCCACAGAGATCACAACATCTGGTGGCCGCAGCAGCACGGAGCTCAGGGCTGGGTTTGGCACCACAGCTTTTGTTTCATTGTTTCTGCAAATCACGTAGGGGATTGGTGACAGGAGGAGGCCTCAAATACAATAATTTTATTATTAATAATACAGACTCATGGAGTGGTTGAGGTTGGCAAGGGCCTCTGGAGAGCTTGGAGCCCACCCGCCCCGCTCAAGCAGGGTCACCTCGAGCACGTTGCCCGGGATGGTGTCCAGATGGCCTTGGAAGATCTCCAAGAACGGAGCCTCTCAGGGCACCCTTGCTGTAAAGAAGCTTTTCCTCATGTTCGGATGGAACTTCCCGGGGCTCAGTTTGTGCCTCTGTCCTATAGCTGGGCATCACTGAGGGGGGTCTGGTCCCATCCTCTTGTCACCCTCCCTTCAGATATGACATCTTTATAAGATCCCCCGAGTCCTCTCTTTTCCAGGCTCAACAGTCCTGTCTCTCCCAGCCTTTCCTCCAAGTCCCTTCATGATCTCCATGGCCCTCTGCTGCTCTTGCTGCAGCAGCTCCACGTCGCTCTGGTGCTGGGGAGCCCAGCGCTGGACCCAGCCCTCCCGATGTGACCTCCCCAGGGCTGAGCAGAGGGGCAGGATCCCCTTGCTCCACTGGCTGCCAACACCTCCCAGTGCAGCCCAGGAGCCCACTGGCCTTCYTGGCCACGCGGCTGCCTCACGATCAGCTTGTCCAACCCGGAGCCCCAGGTCCCTTTCTTCTGCTCTCCACCAGGTCAGTCCCAGCCTGTCCTGGAGCGCAGCGTTGTTCCTCCCTCGGTGCAGGGCTCTGCACTTCCCTTTCCTGAACTTCCTGACGTTCTTCTCTGTCCACCTCTCCAGCCTGTCCAGGTGCCCCCGAAGGGCAGGCTGAGCAGCTCCATCACCGTCCCAGGGATGGAGGTGACGCTGGCTGGTCTGCACGTTCCTGGGCCCTCCTCCTTGCCCTGTTGAACACTGCAGTGACACYGGCTTTCTTCCAGTCCTGAGGCACCTCTGCTGTTCTCCTTGTGCTTTCAAAGAYGATGGACAGTGGCCTAGCAATGACATCCACCTGTTCCCTCTGCACTCATGGATCCAGCCCACCAGGGCCACRGACTCGTGGATATCAAGTTTCCCTAAAAGATCTCTAATCCATCACAGCAAAGTCCTCCTTTCTGCAGACGTTCTCCCTGCTCCCCCTCTCTCCTTCCTTTCGTTCCTCATGTGATTAAAGAAGCCCTTCTTGCTGTCCTGGCCACCACTTGTCCTTGCAACCCCTTGTCCGTGACACCCCTTGTCCTGGCCACCCCTTGCCAAATTACTAATAATGACTAATAACGAGCGAGGGCGGCAGCTGCTGCTCCGCAGCGCCGGCTACACTTTGGTCACGCTGTGTGCCGGCCTCACCGCAGCCTTTTCCCGCTCCGGGCGGCACGGTTGGGCATCCACCCTATTGCTCCTGCCACCTGGACACGCGGGCAGCTTCTGCCCTTTCTTCAGCAGGCACCAGGCCCCGTAGCCGAGCAGCAGAAGGCTGAGGACTCCCACGAGCACGGGCAGAGCGCCGTTTCCCTCGGGATGTGGGCAAAGCCACCGAGGGCTGCTGCTTATCGGGACGGAGACGTTGCTGCCGCTATCTGGGTAGGAGCAGAGGGCGTYGCGGAGGTCGCGCACGGCCGCGCCGGCCGCCCGCAGCGCGTCCAGCCAGCCCAGCGCGCAGCAGCTCAGCGGGTTTCCAGCCACCCACAGCAGCCTGAGGCTGCGGGCCCAGCGCACCACGGCCGGCTCCGCAAGGGCCACCAGGCTGTTACTGCGAAGGTCCAGGCTTTCCAGGGGCGAACACAGAAGACCCGTGGGAAGAAGGCTCAAGTTGTTGCTGGATAGGTCCAAAGCTTTCAGCGAGTCCAGGCAGGGGAATTCTGCCTGGCCGTCATGCATTTGGTTTCCCCTCAGCGAGAGTCTTTGCAAGGAGAATTCCAGCCCCTCCAGAGCTTCCTTGGGCATGAACAAATCCGYGTTCTCAGACAGATCCAGTGAGACCAGAGGAGTCTGGTTGAACGTGTAGGGATAGAGCCTTGCAATGTTATTCTTACGAAGGCTCAGGTGCTTCAAGCCAAGTATGTTATAGAAGGCAGTGCAGGTGCCTCCTGGGGCGGCTGCACGAGAGGCCCCTCCTGCAATCTCCCCTTTGCCCGTTTCCCGGCCCTCGCAAGGTTGGAGGCTGTTGGAACCAAGATCGATGGATTCCAAATGAGGCAGGAAGTCAAAAAACCAACGTGGCAGYGAGTGAATGAAATTGCCGTGGAGATCCACTGAGCGCACGGGCAGCAACACGAGCTCCTGGGGCCCGAGTGAGTTGTCACCTGCGAGCGCCTCCCTGGTCACATCCTGGAGACAATTCATGGACACGTCGAGACTGCGCAGGGAGGTCAGAYGGCGGAAGAAAGCCAGTGGCAGCTGCTGCAGCTGGTTATTGCTGAGATCYAAGTCGGCTACGCGGCTCAGGTTCGCCGCAGGATTCCCCGTCGCGTTCCTGCGCCTCGCCGCCTCAGCCCGCTGCAGCACAAGGTCTGCCGGGCGCCGGGCCGGCGGCGCCAGCGAAGCWATAGCGTTGCTGGAGAGGTTCAGGTGGGTGAGGCGGTGCGCGCCGGGCAGCTCYGGGAAGCGGAGCAGTCGGTTGTGGCTGAGGTCGAGCACCTGGAGCAGGTAGCGCCGCTCTCCCTCCTGCGGCACCGCAAAGAGCTCCAGCGCGTTGTAGCTCAGGTTGAGCACGCGCAGCGGCGTCAGCGTGAAGCCGGAGATGCAGCGCAGCGAGTTCAGCGCCAAGTCCAGCGCGCGCAGGTGCCGCAGAGCCCCGAAGGCGCCCTCCTCGATGTGCATGATGTAGTTGTGGCTGAGGTCGAGCTCGCGCAGCGCGCGCGCGCTCCCGAAGAGGCCGCCCGGCAGCCTCGTCATCCTGTTCCCGGACAGGTCGAGCCGCCGCAGCGTGGTGAGGTTGCTCACGTACCAGCCTGCCATGTGGCTCTCCAAGTTATTCGCCGACAGGTCCAGGACCTCGATGCTCCTGAGCAGCCTGAAGGCCCTGCCRTTGGCCACGTAATTGCGGTCGAGGTGGTTTGATCCCAGGAGCAGAGCGCGAAGCCGGGGCAGCTGAGCCAGGGCCGCYTCGGACACGGTCTCCAGCTGGTTGAAGCAGATGTCCAGGTACTCGAGCTGCCCGGACCAGGGCCTGGAGGTCTCTGACAGGGTTCGGATGAAGTTGTTGGAGAGCTCGAGGTGCTTAACGCCTGGGCCGAGCTCCTTGGGAAGCTTGTGCAGGCCGAYGCCTTTGCAGGACACCCTCGTGGGGCTCTGTGGAGAAAGAGGAAAAGGCATCAGTGAGGGTGGGATCCGGATAACCCGGACCCCAGCCAGGCCGGCCGCTGCTTGGGAGGCACGGGAGAAACACGGAGCCAGAGGAACGGGAAGCGCTCCCCGGACAGGACAGGCCGGTCCGTCCAAAGCCAGTCCTGGAGGGACAAGCAGCCTGTCCGCAGGGTTAAGGGGAGTTCTCCAAGGCTCTGCTTTAGAGCCGAAGGGGGAGCCGGCTTCTCTGGATTATTTGCCGTGGAAGATGCCGCCCATGGGCACGCGTTGCTCTGCAATGCCTCTACCTCTACCAGGGCACCACGGCCAGCGACGGGCAGGGAGCAGCCGAACGATGCSGCTGGTGTCACCACTGGCTGGACACGGGGACCGCTCCAGCGCCCCGCGCTCCCCAGGCTGCGGACAGGTACGAGCTCAGCCAGGATCCATGAAACGTTCTCCAACAGCCCATCCGCTAAACTGAGCTCATGCTGGATCCATCCTGAGCCTCAGCCCTCACGGAAACATGTGCTCCGGAGCACAGAGCCAGAGGGAAACCTCTGGACAGACTGATGCTGCTTCTGCTGCAGGAGCGACCTCCATCTGACGCCTCGTACACTGCCCACAAAATGGGCAAAAGTGCCAAAAAATGTGAAAAAAGCTGCCTGCCATCCCGCTGCCTGGCTGGGGCCCAGCCCTTGWAGGGAAATAAACCCTCAGGAAAGACCTCAGGCTGTTCGACAYGCTCGGGAACCTGCTCTGCATCCGCTCCGGAGCGACTGTCTTGAGATGATGCCCCCGCGGCAGGGACTAAGGAGAGGTGACCCCGGCCCCGCAGTGACACCGAGCACCGGGGAGCGGCCAGGAGGGCAGGACAGGCTCGGGAGGAGGGCCAAGAGAGAGGAGGGCGAAGAGGAGTGTGAAGGTGGAAAGGCCACAGAGATGGAGGATGGAATGACATTGGAGCTACGGAGCAAGAGCTTCACCCTGCGCCCTCTCCGCCATGCACCGGGGGGTGTTCGCAGACCCAGCGGGGAACCCCGGCTCCGAAATCCCAAGGGATCCTTGGGAAGGGTCCTTACCTGCTGGCACGGCAGGGGCCTGGGCCTCCCTTCCCCACCCGCCTGGGCTTTGAGCACGGAGGGGAGCAGCCAGAGCAGCAAGCAGCCCCGGCCGGGCAGGCGGCGGCCGCGGGGCAGCATGTCGGGCCGTCCCGCGCGCCCCGGCAGGCGCGCGCTATAAATAGGGCTGGCCGGGGCACGGGGAAGGAGATAGCGCCCGTGGGTGTTCGCCGCTGCGGAAGTGGGAGAAGAGAGATGTGAGCCTATGGAGGGGAAAAACAGCGCAGCCAGCCGCAAGGGAGGGAAAGGGACCCGCCGGGTGGGTGGCACTGATGCACGCAGCCTCAGGTGACTGTCACGGACACCAAATCCCGGGAAGGAGAGCTGAGAGCGGGAGTTCCCGCGGGGCTGCTCGGCTTCCGCAGGCTGCGCCGGGGCTTTGGGCTGTGCGGTGTCCCCGGCGCGACTGTCCCCAAGCGGGTGACACGGCTCCGCACAGGAGAGCTCCCCGTGCCATGCGGGGCCGCCGGGGGCTCCAGGGGCTCCGGGGGCTCCGGAGCGGCGGGGAGCCGGGCCCTCCCGGCAGAGCCTCCCGCTGCTGCGGCCCYGTCGCGGGAGCCCCCGGCGCCGCCTGCACCCGGGGCTGCACAGGGGGTTTGGCTGCCCCAGGGCCGCGCGCAGGACGCAGGACGCCGGGGCCCGGCAGGCTCTGCAGGTACCTGCGACAGGACAGAGCCCAGTCCCGGCCCCGGCAGGAGCCTCCCGGCCGGGCGGTGATGGCCAGGATGGGGACAGCTCYGCACGGGTCCGTCCCGGGCTGGTGCCCACTGATGGAGCGGAGCTTCCTGCTCCTGCTCGGCACGGGTTTGTGGGGCTGCGGCCGCCGCCGCCATCCCCATCGGGCCCGGGACACGGTGGCCGCGTCACCTGCTCCCCATGGGGCCCAAGCCGACGGGACRTTTCCTCCTGGGGCTCCGAGGGCTGCACCCCGCTGGAGCGGAGCTTCTGGTGCCACTTGTGCAGGTCCCTGTGCCACCTAGCGGTGACGGCAGCCCCGGGGACGTGGCCGGGGCTGCACAAGGACTTTGCTTTCCGCAGCTCCACGGCCGTTCTCCTCTCCGGAGCAGCTCGGGACCCCRCGCGGGCTGCTCACGAGCGGCTCCTTCACAGGTCTCGGCATCGTTTCGTCCCATGGAGGGTCTGGCAGGACCCGCAGGCGTCCCCGCCGGCGCTGCCCGTCCCTGCAGGGCCCTGGCAGGACCCCCGCGCGGTGACACCAACGTCAACCGGCAGACACGGCGCTTGGGGCCGAGCTCCGCGCCCGGGTGCCGCTCTCCAGGCCAGGACATCGGGGACGGCGTTTGAAAGCCAGACGGTGTGAGCGGGTCCCCTCGCTGGGACTGGAGCCCGGGCCAAAGCAGCCGCGGGACAACAAACCTTGGTCGTTTCCAGAGGCAACCTGAGGATAGCGTATCCGCACAGCTGGAGAGCCACGAGGTCTCAGCGACCTCTGGATGAACCTCCTTGTCCGACATCCTCCTCCGTCACCGGCAGCCCAAGGAGCGCTGGCTGCGGACGAGGCAGGGAGGAGCTCTGTAATTCGGCTGCTTTGGCCCCAAAGCCGCTGCCGGAGCCGCGCGGCCGCTCCTGGGCCCCGAGCCCGGCGCTTTGGGGATTGTCAGGGCAGATGAAATCAGCTGAAAGCCCCTGATGAGAATCGAGGCCAGGGACTTCCATGGAGAATCCCAGGGCGGCTGCATCCCGCGCTGTGAAGCCCCTGTGCCGGGATGCTCTGCAGCCGGGGAGCACGCGGAGCGTCCAGCGCCACGGGAGGGATCCGCTCCTGCAGGAGCGCAGAACAGGGAGCTGGGAGCCTGGGAAAGGGCCCAACTCCCTGGGCAAACAGCAGCGTGCAAAGGGCTAGACTGAGCTTTGCAGTGTTGGAAACACACTTCTGTATTTCAACAGATGTCCTTCTTCTATAATGGGGAATTAAAAAAAACATCAACAGCATYGGGGGTCGCAGCACTACCAAGATGTCCCTGTGACGTGGACTGAAGACATAAGAGGACACGAGCCCTAAGCAAAGCTGGTGCTGGCGTAAACCTCCACCAGCAGCACCGAAGGCAAAGCGCCCTTGGTCTCCTCCACCTTCTGTCTCCGGGGAAATCGGGGGGCTTCCTCCTCTCCTGSGCCACCTCCATATGAGGTGGGTCCAGTTTGACCATCCAGCCGGCGACGTGGAGCTCTGCCCTTGCAGCCCAGCAGTCCTGGAGCTTGTGCCACTATGGATCAGGAAGCAGGACACAGCGGGGAGCCAGAGGTTCCTCACGGAGTCAGGAACAGGGTGAGACCCCTCTGCTTCAGGCAACGTCACCTATGGAGGCTGCAGGATGAAGAGCCTCGGAGGCCGCGTGTCCCAGCGGCACCGGACAGGGAACGAAGGGCTGGCAGAGCTGGAACTGGAGTCGCTTCCGCTGTGCGGGAGCAAGGGCCTGGCATGATGGCAAGGAGAAGAAACAGAAGGACACTCTGCAGGTCAAGAACTGTCTCTGCAAAGAGAAGAGCTGTCCGAGAAACTACCTGAGCGCTCGTGCATTGATTCCTGCCCCCGTTTTGTCCCAGGCCACGTCTCCCTCTCACTTTGGAGAGCGGTTTGGGTGCTCCTCGCCAGGAGGGAACGTCCAGCGCGGGYGGGAAGGGACAGCAGCAACACCCTTCCTCAGGGCCCCGAGGAGAGCGGCTTTCACCCGCTGCCTCCGAGCGCGGTTCGGCACCGCCACGAACACCCGAGAACTCCAGAGATCAGGAAAAAGCTTTATTTGCAAAGAAAATATTGACAATTTACATAAACTTACATCCTAATTTATATACATTATGTATATTTTATATACAGATAGTTTTGAATAGAGATGTCGAAGCACAAACCAGCATCAGTGCATCACTGCGCACATCAGACAGGAACAGGCTCGGAGCCGCGGCGTTTTCCCAAAGCTCCTCTCCCAGTGCACTTTTATTCGGGAGCCTGAGGAAGGGCTTTCTGCTGGACCTGGCCGTGACGAGCAGCAACGTTGCACAGGGCTGAGAGCTGGGCATGGGCGCAGCAGCGAAGCACACGCGCCCTGGAGCGGGGCGCAGCGCCCAGCCTGGAGCCAGGACACTTAGCCAGGCGGGACGCCAAAACCGAGACACCCACCCGAGGGTGCCTGCGGGCACCGGAAGCAGCCTGTGCTCCCGGGAGCCGATCCAAGGCTTCGGGAACGAGCCGGGCTGAGGAYGAGGGCTCCGTGCTGGACTCGCCCAGGCGCTCGGCTCCGGGCGGGCCCGGGCGCCCCCCTCTCCGCAGCCGACGCTGCCCGTGCTGGGGAAGGAGCTTTCCGAGGYGGCACAGAGCGGGCACAGGAGCGAGTCCCCGGCGGGGAGCGGGGGCAGCACCCAGAGCTGCTACTGCAGATGCTCCCAGCACCCCGGGGGTCCTAGAGCTGTTTCCCTATAGATTGTGTCGGAGCAGAGGCCCTGGGGAGGGAGGAGGGTTTCGAGCCGCCTCTTCTGCACGGATTAGCTGCTCGCTGCGTTGCTGCGGCTGGAGTCCAGGCGGGAGCTGAGCAGCGGGGCCAAGGCACGCGGGTCGGAGCAGAGCTGGCAAACATCCCCGCAGAGGAGAGGCTGGCACGTGTAGGGCGACAGCAGCAACTGTTCCTATGGAGCCGAGGCTGGGCCGGGGTCTCTGATGCGCAGACAYGTGTCCATAATGAAGCACTTCTTGTCATCCAGCCTAGCAACTGATATAGCTCAAAATCAAAGGCACCAGAGGAGCAAAGTCCTGTTCTTGGAGTGTTGAAAATCCTGCGCCGAGCGGCTTCCCGGTCCTGTCTGCTCCGGTGAAGGAAACCCAGAGGGGCTCCAAAGACGGGGTGCACAGAAACACCCTGCAGAGCTGCTCCGGGGCCTGGGTCGCTTGCACTGTACTTCTTCACGGGGAGACCTTGCTGCTCAGGACACGGAGCGGGTCCCAGTGCGGAGGAGCCCCCGGAGGTGCTGGTGCTCCCCTCGCTCGCACCGGCCGCCGCTCTCGGATCCGAAGGCCAGTGAAGCCGCAGGAGCTCCAGGCTCCGGCCCCGCGCATGGAGCCCCGGCTGCAGGGAGCTCAGCCCGGAGCAACGGCGGGAAAAGCACATCCAGCAACGGGCACGTCCCACGGCGAGGGAGCGGGAATCACGTCCCCATCCAGACAGGGACCTCGGCCTTGCAGAGAACCCCGGGATTCTCCCTGTGCCTGTTCCTGCTCCCAGGCCTGTCAGGAGGCGGCACGGACCCTGCCCCGAGCCGCCCCCACGGCGCTCTCACACGCGATTGCCTTGTTTGTGCCTGCCCCTCAGTACTGCTGTTTAGACCCTGTCCTAAAGCAATTCTGTTAATCATTTGCTCCTTGTTCTCGCTATACACAGTTGTCCCGATTCATTCTTGTCAGAGGAACATGTCCCTAGTAATCCATTTTAAAGGAAACAAACCACAAAGACTAGTTCAGTGCCCCTGAGGCTCCTGCTAGTCCAACATGTTAAGGCTAGAAAGGAGGAGAACATATTGAAAAAGAAATAGCAGGCAATTTTTCATGCAGCTATTTTATAAACTGCACGCCTCCTGTGAATAGCCAGGCTGAAGCCAAAGCCGGGTGCCCCCAAGAAATATTCATCTCCCAATAACTGCAATACTTGKCAAGTGAGATCACCAGCTAGGGACGGGGAACAGCAAAGGAGCCAAAAACGCTCCGTGCGGGGGGACGCGTCGCGCCGGGGGCCGCCTCGGGACGCTCCCAATCCACCGCCCGCAATTTCGCTACCCTTTCCAGTTCAAATGATAGCGCTCCAGAAAGAAATCCCCTTTTTCTTAAAAAAAAAAGAGACAAAAAGCAAGAGGCATCAAAGAGAAACCAAGGCAGGACACAAAGGGGCAATTAGTGTTTCAGCCTCTTCCTCAGCTCGAGCACATCTTATAGCGTTGGATCTCACCAGTTGAGGGGAGGTGATGGAAGGAGTTGCTCAAGAAGCCAAAAGAAACAATAGGGTCACAGCTACTCTATTAGTCACCAGAAATCGAGCTGCGACTAGACTCAG